AAGATCCTAGTGAAATGAGAGTAGTCATCAATAAATTTAGATAAAATGGACTCGTCTAGACATGAGAATGAATTACAACCGAAGGAAAAGATGCATGATGACTAACAGACTCAACAAAGACAACATTTTCAGGTTCGTCTGTACGCTAGATCGGTCGGAGGATGAAGGGGAACAAGTAATGGTCTTGACCGAGGTCGAGGAAAGACCATCCCGAGGCTTCAACAGAGTTTACCAAGACCTGATCTTAAAAGCCAAGGTGTTTCAATTTCTTGAATCGGTACTCTGCGACAACAATTGTTCAAGAACCATAACAGAGCAAGCGGCTCAAGTGACGGTAGCTCTGATTCAGTTCAGCTGGAACATGTTCGTGGGGTTGGTGCTGATGGGTTCAACTCTCGAAGCGTTGATTTCGATGGGCTCGTGCCGTTCCATCAAAGTGCTCACTTTGCCGAGGCACTCATGCGAAGCACCTTGATCGACGAGATCGAATTGCTCAGGTGTGCGAGTTGGGATATCACGGCGAAGCCATTGACGCCGAGCATCGTGGAGAATCCAAGATCTCTCTTCTCAGCTTCGATTCGGCTTAAGCGTTTTGAGTTTCTTAGCTTCAATCTCCTCCTTTCTTCTTCCCTCTCTTTTTCCTTCTCTACAAATTTTCCCAGAAAATGTAAGATGTATTGAACGATTCTTTCTCAACCATCTTGGTGAGTTTCTCTCTCTTCAATTTGTCCACGTTGGACTCATTTTTAATATAAAAATGCCACGTCAGATTATGCATTTAATTATGAAAGTCATGTATTATTTTTGGCCGGAATTTATCGCCAGAGGCACTTAAGTAATTGTTTTTTCTCCGATTTGGTACTTAAGTGATTTGGGAAAAACTTTTAACACTAAAATGAGCGTCGTATACAACTTTTGGCACTTCTAGTGTCCTTCTCCCCAAAATATTATTTTAGAACTTGAATTGCAAACATGAGTAAAATTGTTTATTAGAATGACCAAGACAAGCATGCCAGCGAGTGAGGGAGGCGTAGGACGACACAATAGGATGCAAGTGAGATGACACCAATGAGTTGGGGATCGGATAAAGACCATGAGAGGAGTTAGCTTGGAGGAGAATTTTCCCTATTTATTGGTCCTTCAAATAAATGGATGAACCATCAAAATCAACAGTGCGAGAATTTATATGGAAAAGTTGAGTAACAGAGAGGAGATTGTGAGCCAGATTGGGGAAATGATAGCAATGAGATAACAATGAGGATCGAGAACTAGTATGTAAAAGAGCTTTACCAACTTGCTTTATAGGAAATAAACGAGCATCACCAACCAATACTTTTGTGAAATCATAAAAGAGTGTAGGGTTTAGGAGTGTATCATTAGTCATGTGTGTCAATGCTCCGCTATCAAGATACCACATAGGATCATAAGTCTTACCAATCGAGAGAGTTGAGAAGGATTCTTAGAGGTCATTGGTGGTGAAGGCATGGTTGAACAATTGTTGACATTATAGCGCGGTGTGCCTGGTTTCTTTATAGTTTTGACAAATAAGATTAGGCCTAGATTCGAGAATGCCTCCCCAGGTGTATGGAGGAACATAGGGCCTCAGACCATCATGGGGCCGACCAAAAGAGGAGGAGAAGCGATTAAATTCGGGGCTGATGATAACTGCGAGCTAAATCGATCATAGGCGGATTGCAAACCCGATTCATTACTGAAGAACCATCTACAATGTCACTGACTAGATCTTTTGCCTCTAGAATTACATCCACCCCGTGACCCTTGGAACGGGGGAATGGGTGCAATGGCATGGCCAATCAAAGCATGATGTATCGGATGAAGATGAGGTATTAGATTTTCGGAAAATCGTTCTTCTTGGATGAGGAGTTGTGAAGGCAGATCACCAAAGGAATTGTAGGGCTATTGGTGACTTTGGTGTGACAAAGGGATCGTACTCAGATGAGGATCCCATTGAGGGCTTGAATCTTGAAGTCCTTGTTGAAGATGGAGCATTGTTTGTAGTGCAAGAGTTCGCAAATGGCTTCAAACTTCAAAGATAGTCAGACATGGACTGATTGGGTTTCTTGACGGCATTCTAAAATCAAGTTTCAATCCAATTACCTTGGCCACGCAGCGATCGATAAAGCGTCTTCTAGAGGAAGCCAAACCCCCCGAAATGTCCGAAGGTTGTGAGCTTCATGAAATTCTCAACTTTGAAGGTCGAATTAATTAAACTACATACGCACTTATCTTTCTTGACCCTAGTGAAATAGGAGGGATCGACCACCACAGTCCCATTGTCATTAGGAACAAGCTTTGGTTGATACGCAAAAGACCCATCCACATGGTCCAGAAGATCATTATAGAATAGAATAGGTTCAAACAAAGCTTTTTCACAAAAGATAATTGTTTACATCAAGCTTGATGGAGACGAGACTTGTGCTGTTGGGAATGTTGGGGGGAGAGGTGATGAGAAATTGGGATTAATGGAAATAAAAAATGATGGATAAAGAAGAGATAATAGGGAAGAAAAAAAACTAGGGATGAATCAGAAATAGAAATAGGAGCAAAAAAAGTGTTGATTTGGGGCAGAGATATTGATGAATTTGATGCTTTTTCCAGCTTTGATACTATGTTGATTTTTAAAGTCACAAAGAGAGTAGAGACTGAATGTTTATGGTGGCTTGACCTTAACTATGGTTGTTTGATATGTATAAATAATAGTAATTAATTACAGTAATGGTATAAATAAAAATATAATCACATAAAGACCCCATAGTATATATCAATTATTAGGGGAAATCTGTTCCGAGGTGGGAACAGTCTCACCTTGGAACCGGGAACCGGCAATCGGGAACCAGTCCACTCGGTCCTGGAATCAAATCGGATTGGTTTGGTTCTCGGGTGGGTCCAGGAACTGGCGGTATAACTCCCCTTGTTTTTTCCAGCAAAAACAAGTATGAAAAGAATTGAACCGTTGTAAGGGCGATAGGATCCTAGGAAAATAAAGAAGAAAAGGGAAAATATGAAAAGAAAAGAAACAAATCGATTGAAACCTAAAGCATCATTATGCTTATGAATTTTGATTAATGAAAATCTCGAAAAATCTTCTCAATGCACTTTCGTGATCGTAACCATACATGCAGTTTACTACTATACGAAGCTTTTGATCAAAGCCGTTCTGACAAAAAAAAAGGCTTTGATTAAAGGCTTGACCTTCCCATTTTTAAACCCTTTTGCAGAATTTTAAAGCCTTTTATTGTGAAAGTGATGGTTTGGAAACAATGCGATTTCCCGTCGGTCACTATTCCCATCTGTCAGTGCTAGCATTACCATCATAGTCTGTCAACTCCATCTTCGCCAATTAGCGCGATCTCCACCACGTTCTTGTAGACTTTGGATGAGCGGGCAAAAAACAGGAAGGCTACGGAGTCCACTTCGAATTAGCCATTTTTCAAATAATTTGTTCTTAAAAGAGTTAACACCACAAAAAATCCCAAATTTATATATTTATGATAAATTTGTCCTAAACTAAATTTTTGGACCACAAAAAACTCCAAACTGGTACATTTGTGATAAATTTATCTCAAACTAATATTTTGACCATAAAAAACCCAAAAAATAGTACACTCGTGACAAATTTACATTCTGTTAAATTGAATTAATACAACGAAAAATCACAAATTGATAAGTATGTGAATAACGGAGGGGTAATGTAACACTCCGGTTTACACTGTGAAATATTGTCCGCTTTGGGCCCACTGACCCTCACGACTTTAAAACGCGTTACACAGATATAGAATCCCAAGCCTTATAAGCAACCCCAAAGCTCTCTCCCTAGGCGATATGGGACAGGAGAGGTACCCCACTTCCCTACGCACATTTGGGGTAGTGGCGCGGACGCACCGCCATCCGTCCTCCCTGCACTCCGCCGCTTGGCTTGGGCCGTCACACTCTCCACCTCTTACGGGCACAGCGCCCTCGCTGTGGGCCCACACGCGGTCGGGAGTCGGCTCTAATACCACCTGTAACAACACCCCGGGTCTACATCGCTTTGGGCCCACTGACCCTCACGGCTTTAAAATGTGTTATACAGATATAGAATCCCAAGCCTTATAAGTAAGCCCAAGGCTCCCTTCCTAGGCGATGTGGGACATGAGATTGAGAGGTACCCCACTTCCCTGCGCACGTTCGGGGTAGTGGCATGGACGCACCGCCATCCCTCCTCGCCGCGCTCTGCCACTTGGCTTGGGCCGTCACAGGTAAAACCCAAAATCAGTATACTCGTCAACTGCCACGTATTTGATGGTAAAATTTAACAGAAACTAAAAGAGGGTAAATGTGCCACAGGTGTACCAGTTTAAGATTTTCGATGGTCAAAAAATTAGTTTGGGGTAAAATTATCACGGGTGGACCATTGTGGGGATTTTCGTGGTATTAACCCTTCTTAAAAAGAGTGAAATTACTGCTCCACAAAAACAAATAGAAAAAAAGAAAATGAAAGCTGCATTAGTTTTTTAAGAAATGTTTTTTAATAATAAGACTTTTAAAAAGAAAAATAGAATAATTGGTCCGGTCCTGGTGGTCCGAGTGGGTGGATCCACACCTGAAACCGGACCGGTTTTCATTGGTTCTAAATTTTAGGAACCAAGAATCGGACTAGGAAATTAGGAACCTGGAACCGGACCGGTTCTCTCGAGAACTGCCTGGAACTGGCCGCTTCGGTTTGCAGGTCGATCTGGTTCCAGTGCTCGCCCTTATCAATTACATACATATGCGAACCTCATTTAATGTCCAGCTTTGATGAATCTTTCTCGAGCATCGCGTCGCAAAGCAACTGTAATGAGATCATACCTTTCCTTGGCATCAACTAGGGATCGAAGAATTCCTATCCAAAGCAGGAAGATTTTTTTTTTTGACAGAATCCAAGGCAGGAGGATGATAAAGGCCTTTATGTCGAAAAGCTGCACTAATTTTTGATAATTAACAAATCAAATGCCAAATGTTGATGTCTTCCACTTTATTGAACTAAGAAGGCAATGCAATTGAGGTTCACATAACATCCTTCACAATGAAACAAACCCTTAGCAACAGTTCTCCATGGCACTACAGGGGCACCATTTCAATTGGTGGGGGGCTTCATAATCCTCTGAGGCACATATCGGCTTGCTTTTCCAGTTCTTCGACATCCTTCACGAAATCTCTCAGCTTCTTCCTGATGTCTTCTATTCCGAGCTTCACTGCCTCTGGTCCCCCGTCAATCGCAAAATCAGCTATCTGCAAGAGGCTCTTGATCTGTACCTCCAAACGGTCAATAAGAACTCTGATTGTGTCCAGGACCTGGAGAGTAACAAAGGTACAGATCTGTAGAGCTTTTAGTTGTAAGAATTTATTCATGTAAATCATGGTGACTTCTCTTGCAGAGTTTCTTGCGTTTTGGACTCCAAGACATTGTTCCCATCCTTACAGCTACATATAAATCAACCCAGCCTCACAATGTTCATTATGTTAGACGTGAAAACTTCTAGGGGGAACTCTTGTTTTGAACTTAACAGGGATGTTAACTTGGTTTGACGAAATGGTGGAAATGGTCACTGTAATAAGGGAGAAAAAAGGTTTATAGTACTCACTTGCATTGAGTTGATCACCTCCTCCTCTCCCTCTAATATATCTTCATAATTCTTCCAAAGGGAATCGATCCACTTGCCCACCGAATCCATGGGAAAGGCAACTGCAGCCACTAAAGCGGCAGTGAATGGCGGAGCAACCACTGCAGCAGTCACGACCGAATAGATCAGCATGGCTTGGAAAGTCGCAATCAGTATAATGTTTGAGACAATCGCCCAAGTGCGTATGCTCTTGAGCTTCTCGTCAATCTCCTTCTTCTTGATCTGCAACTTCTCGAGCATGGACTTTTGTTGCTTGTGGATAATCTGAAAGATCTCGAAGAACTCAGTCAAGGGGTCTCTAGTCTCCCTGAATTTGGTCAATTTCTCCAAGGTGTTTGAGTACCTAAATTTTTCCAAGGTTTCTGCATCAGTTTATCTCGAAACAGATCATGTGCATTTCTCACCACCTTAACCTTGTATTGTTAGGATATCATACTCTAGAAATCAACTCAATCTCATTGGCTTGTTAGGATATGAAGTCAAAGGCCAATGCATAGAGAAGATAGGAGAGATTGAATGCCTTAGCATTAGCAAGAGTAGCTCAATAACCAATTATACTTAGATATATGTGCTATCAATGAAGTTCCTGGGGAACTAAGATACATATATACCTGCAGTCTCCTTTCCTGTCTTCTTCTTCGAAGCAATGAAGCACGTCAAAAATCAGCAATTGGACATCGCGCACATACTTCAAGCAATTCTCAAGGGTGGCACAGAAATCAAGGGTGTGCAAGCCATCCGGGAAGTCATCCCCGACAAGCTCGAACAGCTCTGGAAGGTTTCTTCTGGTGTTGGCATCTCCCATTGACCTTCAAGTGAGATCATGAGGTTAACAAAAAAGAGGAAGAGTACACTAAAAGGAATATAATGAAACAGTAACAGAAGTATATGTCCCCTGGAGAATTTTAGAGCCTGTAAAATCGAAATTGAAAGGAAGAGAATGGAAAGGAAGTTATGTAAGAAGATGGTCGTCGCATGTCCCAAAAGTATAAACTATTAATAGAGCAATGATTCGAGACCATGTTAAATAGATTTGGAATATAGAACGAGTATGATAAATGACTAGAGTAATTACTAATATCCATGTTCTATACTTAAGCCGTTAAAAGACGCGAAATTAACTTCTTCTTTTTTTCGGTTTAGGAGCAATTACTGAGGGGTATAAACTAAAGACTCCACTGAAAAACTAGAAATTTTATCATATTTGTTTGGAGAAAAAAAGTTAAATCATAAAGGAATTTTTTAAAGTTCAATGAATAAAAGAACTCAAGGAATGAGAAATCTAGAAATTAGAAAACATAAGATGACGTAAGAGATCTGGTACACCTTTTTTATTTTATAAATACGATAAATAGAATTTCCTATTGAATGTTTTTGGATTGGATAGCATTTTAACAAAATGGTTGGAATATTTCACACAAGACATGGCTGCCAAGACGAGATGAATCTAATCTTCATCATTAGGGAAAATGTCAGACAAAAAATCCCCAAAGTTATTATGAGCAGGCAATTAAGAAGATAAGAAACGATGCGATTTCTCACAAAAACCCCACTTGCAATGTTCGTCCAACCCTAGGAAGAATTCAATTAACACTTCGCAAATTGACATGCGCATCCACCGATAACCGTACGTCGGTAATCAAGCCGGCTAAACATAAATTCTGATGGAAAAATGAATGGAATGACACTTCTATACGATGTTTCACAGGTATGATCATTATCATCGGGTCATTACGGAACAAAGAGCGGCCGAGCGTAACGATCCCCCTATTGCCTATGTATTGGGTGATTTTCCTGTGCTTAGATCATGAAGATGCCTTAACAGGAATCATTTCTAGGGTTATTCTGTGAGTCATCCTATCGAAGTGGGCTAATACATTCATTTTAAACCTCAACAGGATAGTTATATGAGTCAGGGTATATCTCATAATCAAGCATGGTCATGGTTTTTCAAATTCACGAGGGCCTTCTCATTTGACTAGCCCTGCATGATAATCAGCCAAAGTTAAGATACCACAATCTGCATGAGATCTAAAACCATAACAGGATACAATCCAACAAGCAAGATGGCTAACTCTTCTTGCACAATTGAATGTAAATTGGATTTTCTTTACCTAAATGAGCTGCTTCTTGCAATCGACTGCTCTGCGAGACGGAAGTTAGAAAAGAGAGAGAGGGCAAGATGGCTTTGTTGAATGTGATGAAGATGAAGCGCCCTCTCATGTGGATTTATATTCTTTCAATTGGAGGATAAACTTGATCGAGATGGCATAGAAGGCATCCAGAGAAAGCTTTTGAAATTTTGGGCATAGTTACCCAAAATGCTCATTCCATATTAGCGTTTCTCATTCTTGAGAAGATTCCAAGAAACTAGGTTTAGAGATGATATGTTGACATCGGTCTCGTTTTGCGGGAACAGTTCCGTGTCACATTTGTATAGATTTCTATAATATAGATTATTGGGTCAAGCTAACATCATGATACTGCCATATTTACTGGATGACAAAAGCCTAGATATTGTGCGAAACACATGTTTAGTTATTGGACACTTGCCGATATAATACCTTGACAACCGATCTTTCCTTCTTTGTAAATTGAAATGTGTTAAAAGATAGAAAATGTCGGCTTGTACTCCTCCTATTATTTTTCCTTGAGAGATTACTCTTTACATCTTCTAAATAGTTATGCTTTGCATCTTGTATTTTCTGAAATTAGAATTTAGCATCCTATATTGAAATATTGCATTGCTACAAGACAGATTATTCTAAAACCTTCATTAAACTCACTTCTAGTGTTCGATAAGAATGTTTCTTAAATAGATTATCCGAAGGTGGTGATACATTCTAAGATACATTGGCTTTTAAATATGGATCAAAGTTGGAAAATATTGAAGATATCACCGCCTATCTCTGGTGACTCTTCGGGTGCGCATGAATACCATTCTGTGCCCGGGAGCTATTTCTGAACAGAAATGATTTTTTTGATTCTGTGCCCGGAAACAATTTCTGAGTATTTGAAGGCGTTTGATAAACTGTCCAAAATTTCTATTCCTAGAGTAGAAAAGAACAGAAATGCGTTTGGTAACTACACAAAATTTCTGTTCCCAAATAATATTTTAATAATATTTTGAATTGTTAAAATTTTTTTTTTTTACCGATTTTCTTCTTTGGCCATGGCCGGTCGCCGGCGACTGGCCACAGCCCAGGGCCGGCGAGGGTGTCACGGCCCTCGCCAGCCGCCGGCGGAGGCGAGGTCGCCCTCGCCGGCGAGGGCGAGGGCCAGACCCTCGCCGCCGGGCGAGGCGGCCTCGCCCGAGACGGCGAGGCTCGGCCTCGCCCGGATCCGGCGAGGCCGAGCCTCGCCCGTCGTGACCAACGGCGAAGCCGACCTCGCCGTCGCGACCCACGGCGGCCGACCTCGCCGTGGGTCGCGACGGCGAGGCTCGGCCTCGCCGGATCTGGGCGAGGCCGCCTTGCCCGGCGGCGAGGGTCCAGCCCTCGCCCTCGCCGGCGAGGTGACCTCGCCCGAGACGGTCGAGCCTCGCCGTCGGTCGCGACGACGAGGTTGGCTTTGCCGTGGGTCGCGACGGCGAGGCTCGGCCTCGCCGGATCCGGGCGAGGCCGAGCCTCGCCGTCTGCGGGCGAGGCCCGACCTCGCCGTCGTGACCGACCGGCGAGGCTCGGCCTCGCTCGATCTGGGCGAGGCCGCCTCGCTCGATCTGGGCGAGGCCGCCTCGCCCAGGCGGCGAGGGTCCAGCCCTCGCCCTCGCCGGCCCTGGGCTGTGGCCGATTGCCGGCCGTCGGTCACTGGCGGCCGGCTCAGCCAGGGAAGAACAACACCACAAAATAAGAAAAGAAAAAAAAGAAAAAGAAGAAAAAAAACTGATTCTCAAAATTGTGCCGAGAAATAAGAAGCAACTTTTTTTTACTTCTTGTTTCTCTTCCAAAACTATTTCTCGGCACAAATTTTTGTAAAAATGTGCCCAGGAACAAAAAGTTTACCAAACGCATTTCTGTTCCCAAACTATTTCTGGGAACAAAAGAACAGAAATTTTTACTATTTGGCACGTTACCAAACGGGCCCTTCATGTTTTGGTCGAAAGGCTCTTCAGTTCCCAATGGAAGTCTTTTCGGGGCACATGTTAAAGTGTCTTTATTGCTTTGTAGTTTTCTAGAGTCATTATTAATGGTATGTCAAGAGTCATATTTCAAGCCTATATATAGGCGAGTCTTTAATCATTTCAGTAGTAGAGTAAAAAAAGAAGAAGAGAGATTTCAGTAAGTAAAGTAGTGTATTCATCTACTTCCTTAAGAGCTTCTCTTGTGTGATTATTATCAGAGCTGTGAGACTCTAATATTCAAGAAGTGGTATCAGAGCATAGGTTATCTGGGACCAAGAGCACGGTTGTCAGGGACTGTGAGTCAAGTCTTCCGGAGCATAGTTAGTGAAGACGGTGGTCAAGGACCATTATTCGTGCGCAGGTGGTCAAGGACCGGAATACGTTGAAGTTCTGCCGATGTACAGTCAGGGATTGTGATCGATTGGTTGGGGACCAAGGTTTCTTGGAGTAGTGCCGGGCATTATTTCAAGTCATATGGCGGACGTTTCAAATTCGACGAATGGCATTGAGAAGCTCAACAACTCCAACTACAATAATTGGAGTATCCGGATGCAGTTTTTTTTGCTGGGTCGGGATTTGTGGGATATTGTTGACGGCAGCAACACCACGGCACCCAGAGACAATAATGAACAGAGGAGATGGAAGATCAAAGCGGGTAAGGCTCTTTACGCTCTTGCTGTAACTGTCGAAGATGATTTATTGCAGCACATAAAGAGCACGCAGTCTCCCAAGGAGGCATGGGATAACTTGGCAGCGTTATTCGCAAGGTCGAACGATGCCAAGCTACAAAGGCTGGAGAACGAGCTGCTGTCGATGTCATAATAAAATATGACGGTGAGTCAGTATTTCTCCAAAGTTAAGTCTATTTGTGACGAAATTTCAAAGTTGGATCCCACTAATGCCATCTCAGAAACAAGAATGAGAAGAATTATTATTCACGGGTTAAAGCCGGAGTATAATGGTATTATTACGGCTACTCGTGGATGGGCAACTCAACTGACGTTGACCGATCTGGAGAGTATTCTGGCTAACCAAGAGACTTTAGATAGTCAAATGTCTAAGGTTTCGATTAAGGGATAAGAAAGTGCCCTCTTCAATGATAAAAGAGGGTTCAAGGATCAGAGGCGAACCGGTGCTGATAATAAAAATGGCAAGTTGAGGAAAAGCCATGTTGAATGGCAAAAGCAACCAGCTCATGAAGAATGACAAAAGCGTCCAAGAGA